GCATGAATTTTAACTTCTCAGATTTTCTGAGAGAACACTTTCCAGATGGAAAAATATTTACCAAAATAGAAATGCCCTATAAAATCATGGATTTTGATACACTTCTGATGGCAACCTGTCTCCTTCCCTGCCACTTAGCACATCTGGCACACAGGCCCCAAGGCAAGCGCCCAGAGGACCACATTTCAGAGCAGATGAGGGCTGAGGATCATTGTGGCCAAGAGCCAGGGTTTGGAGCACGTCCAGCCCACCAAGCCCACTGTACTCCTACCAGGAGACCTGTAGGGAGAGCTCTACCTCCTCCTCACAGATCTCTCCATCCAAGACCTAGACAGCTGGACTTTGGTTAAGTGGAACAGCAGCACTCGGTGCAATCCTGATGCAAAACTGTCTTTTTCCAAGTTCAAGCCCAGGATGGAACAAATCCAGGTTACACAAAGGCCGCTCCAGGCAAATTAATGGTTTTTCAAAGCTCAGTGTGCCCTTCCTCAATAGAATATTAAAAGCAACAATAAGAACTGAGATGCATTAACACCCACCTGGCAGCCTCAGGTGGGTTTGGATAACCACACATCCCAGTTTCATAGCATTGATAAATTTTTCTCTTTGAAGAAAATATAAGCTGGTAGTTCACAAAGAGGGGGGAAAGTATGCTGGGCCATACAGATCTGCAGCAAAGCTCCCTAAGCTGCAGCTGAGTTCAACCCAAGTTGGTTATTGGGGAAACATTCACTTCCTCCATCTGTTCCCTTCAGAGACGCATTCAGAGCAGGAGAACTGAAGGAGCCACAGAGCAATGCCCAGAGATAAAGGAGGAAATCCCCTTCAGGTTCGTGGAAACAAATCCTGGGGGTGTCTTTCCAAAAAGAAAACAATCCATGCGAAGATTAATCTCGTGCATTTGCACCACTTACTAAAAAGTCATTTTCCCAGAGGGAGTGAACAAATCTCCCAGCCTAGTATCTGGAAATGCCAGAAGAAAAGAGATTGTTCATATAAACACACATATTTCCAGGGGAAGTTTACCCTTCCTATAGCCAGAGGATGTTTACTTTTCTAGAAAAAGAGTATGTTAAAACCTTTCTTCCCTTCTACTTCATCACTATTTCATTAGCACTCAGGAACAGACACTCCTCATTTCAAACACAGGGCTTAGCAGGGCAAGTGAAGGGTGAGCCACACTCGTATATTCAAGAAAAAAATAAATGCAGGGAATTACGCGAATAAACGAAGAGGCTGAATTAGAGCTTAAAGACTACAAGTTTTCTGCGGTGCAGTGACACACACAGGTGATGCAGAGGGATGGCTGAAGTGCATCAATGCAAAGAGCAGGAGTGCAGGGCTGAGCCTTGCAAGCAGACCCACAGCTCTCCTAACATCAGAGGCTGCAGGTGAGGACCCTCCGCCTCCCCCTGCCCTTATTTATGAAGCACATTCTAGGCATGGGGAATGGGACTGAGACCAAGAGCAGGCTGGCTCTATGCTCAGTTACAGATTTGCTGTGAGCGGGTTTTGGAGATCAAAAATCAATGTCAATGATCTGAACTGCAGTTTAACAAAGTCCTAATGAAGTTTAATGGATGCCATTAGGTAAATTGCAAGCACCAGCCCCATTCATTGTTGCACGGAAGTGGCGATATTTTACAGCACTTTTTAAAGTTTCTTAAATAAGTACAATAGGAATAAAGAATATCTCATTATTTTTATGACCACTTAACAAGCTTCTGCAGCATTAAGATAAGCGCCTACAACAAAAACATCACTGCTCTCACAGTCAGGTACATTCTGCTGCCTCCAGATGAATTACACCCTGTTAAGAACAAGGTGCACTGGGCCAGGCAAGCAGCAAGGACCCACATAAAGGATGAAACCCTGGCTGTGGGAAAGCAGGCAAAAAAATCATAGAATCCTAGAATGGCCCACAATGCTCATCCAGTCCCAACCCCCTGCTGTGTGCAGGTCGCCAACCAGCAGCCCAGGCTGCCCAGAGCCACATCCAGCCTGGCTTTGGATGCCTGCAGGGATGGGGCATCCACAGCCTCCTTGGGCAACCTGTTCCATTGCCTCACCACCCTCTGCAAAAAACAAAAGCTGCAACTCTAACGCTCACGGAAAAAATCCAACAGGCTCTGTTTGAACAGGATTAAAAATATTTAACCTTCCAGCTAATGAATAAAGATGAGGATGGAGAGGTATTGATTGCAGTCCTGTTGCTGCAAAAAGTGAGAACAGGAGGTCTCACAGCTGGGCTTTATGTATCAACATACACACTTCAGAAATAGGATAGGAATGGAGGTCCATCACTTGTAACTCAAGGCAGCACACAATAGCAGCAGTATCATGGAGCCAAGCAGACTCTGAAGCCACCACATCCAGCCATAGCCGTGCAAATGCTGGCTGGCTCACAGATGCTAAAGTGGCTAGGAGCATTTGAGTTTGTGTGAGAAGTCTGTTGATTTTCATGAGAACAGATGCACCTGACAAACAGAAAATGCAGCATTTCCATTCTGGATGTCTGGAAGACTCCAGCCCAACCCCAACAATGCAGACCTTCAAGGATGGTGTTTCCTCATTTTCCCCGGGCCCTGGAAAGGATAAGAAGAGCTGAAGATTCATCCTTGGCTTGCCTTAGCTGCCAAAACTTCTTTTTGGAGGCATTTCTGACTCCTCTGCTTGCAGATCAGGGAATCCAGCAGGTTTGGAGATGGTGAACATCAGCCAGGGCTTAGAGTTTGGGTTTTGGGCAGAGCAGAGCACTGACTGGGAAGTTTCCCCCAGTATGCTTCCTGCTACAACTCTTTCCCAGGCCACGTCCTGTCCAAAACACCAAGAAGCCACTGTCACCAACCAGGGGGCTGAGAAGGAACAAGACCTTCTCAGGAACACAGCACGGCTGTGCACTGCAGGTTTCACCATTAAACCTGCTCCAGGTTCCTGAGCAGCCTGAGATTCTCCTGTCTTCATAGAAAGAAGAAGTGATCAGTTAATAGAACATACATGTATTTTTTTCACATACACACACAAAAATTTTAAAAAAAAAAAAAAAAAAAGAGGATTTAGGGATCATCATGTATGCATTCCTTTCTCCCTCTCAAACTGAGAAAAGTAATCTCCGAGGGAAGAATTTAATCAAAGCCAGCTGCTAATTACTTTCCTGACACCAGGGAAGAAGAATGTTGGCCTCCAAAAGATCTGGGAGATTTTCATGATTAATATTTGATAAATCTGTAATTGGATCGTTTGATTTCGTAGTCTCCTTTGAATAGAGGTAGAAACTTTATTGAAATTAATGTTTATGAATTCAGGCCACAAACTTCGGGGGATGATAAAACTCATTGATTGATTGGAGTATCTTGAAGTGCTAACCCTGGAGAGAGGAAAAACAGGGATTGCTTGAGGACAAGTCAATACAGACTGAATGTAATCCAGAACGCTTTCCTATTAGACAAAATAAATGACATTCTGCAAATAGTTGAAGTTATGTTTCTTTAGTGTTTCTTTCCCTGAAGTTCAGATTCAGCATGAATATTTAATTTAGACACAAATGAGAACTAAGTGTGCTAGCTTTGAATTCGTAGCTGGGAAGAATGCAAGAGTGAGCAAATGTTCCCATGGAAAAAAAATCCAAAACATGAAAACTGCAATGCTGTACATCTCTACTGCAAAATATAATTGAATTCTCTTAAAAAAGAAAGCAGAAATTTATTAAAGTAAGGACATTGCAGGGCTGAATGTTATTTATTATTAATATTAACAGGAAAAAAAATACTTTCTTGCTCTTATTTTTATCTATTATGTATTCAAACCTTTAGAACTGCTTTATGCTAACAACCCAGCAGCAAAGCAAAAACAAATATTGTCCAGAAAGATGTCTTATAACATATGAAATTACAACAGAGCAAATTAAGCTGCGATTTGAACACTCAATCTTCTATTTTGAAGGCGAGAGATTCAATTTCCCTTGCCTTTACCAACATCACTGCTTTGAACAGACAGCAAAGAAATGGCAAAAAATAAGAAAGAAGGGTCTTAATCTTCGTATTCCAGTGTGGCTTGCGTGTTTTCCCACTCCTGCAGAAGCAAACAGCCGTACAGCTCTTTTATATCAGCTTTAAAGGAGGTCAGGTTTGGGGCAGCTCTCCCCTGACATTTTTAATTCAGCATTTAAATTGTTCCATTAGCATGCACAGCAGTTTCCACGTATGCAAGTAGGGAGGCTTGTGCCTCAAAGAACTCACGATCTAAATTAAATCGCAGTACTGGAAAAAGGATGAAAAAGGCACCTGAAAACAAAATACCGAGCCTGGGTAAAAGCTCTCCTCCTTTCCAGGGGAGATTTATGGGAAGGTAAGATACTGGGCGAAGCAAACGGGCTGAACTTGGAGATAAAGGCAGGGGGATGCACACAGACTCATAGAATGGCCTGGGCTCTAAAGGACCACGATGATCATCTAGCTTGAATCCCCTGCTGTGTGCAGGTCGCCAACCAGCAGCCCAGGCTGCCCAGAGCCACATCCAGCCTGGCCTTGAATGCCTGCAGGGATGGGGCATCCACAGCCTCCTTGGGCAACCTGTTCCAGTGCTGAAAGCACGCAACGAGGAGGGAAAAACAAACAACAGAACCCCTTTGGCTCGCTTTAGAAGGGCTTTATTCCTATTTCATACAACGGATCTTTGCAGAGGCCACCCCTCTGCCCCCACTTTTCCCAGCAGAAATGCCCATTTTTGCTCAGCATCAGCCGCTCAGCTCCCCGCGCCGCGCTGCTGCCCCCTACCGCACCGACGCGGCATTGCGTACCCCCGCATACCCCTACGTACCATGCCCTCTCCTAGGGGAGCCCAGCCCCGACCAATCGATTGCCGGCCCGCTCGCCCCGCCGCCCTATCCCCGCTGCAAATACCCACTCACACCGCTCAGCGAGCGGCTGCTCAGGTCTGGCGGCGAGAGGGTGAGGGCGGGGCGGGAGCGGACGCCGCCATTTTGTAGGAAGCGCTGTGCGGGGTTCCTGCCTGCTCCCGCTGCGCCGCGGCCGTGTGAGGGGGGAACGGGGGGGCGGCACTGAGGGGGAGCGGCCCGGTGCCGGCCGGTCGGTCGGTGCGGGGCCTCAGAGGACGCTGCGTTCGCTTGTCTTGCAGGGGGAGTCGGAGCGCTGGGCGAGGGGCTGCTGAGCGTCTGCCATGGCCAACGTGAGTAAGCCAGGGCCGGTGCGGGGCTGCGGCTCTGGTTGCGGGCCTCAGTCGTACTGAAGGATCGGGATCGTCCTCCTCCTTCCAGCCGAGTTTCCCAACTGCTGTGGTTCAGGTGGAGTGAGGTGCACCCGATTCTGGTTTTGAACTCGAGCGCAGAGCTCGAGTTGAACGGGGCGCTGAGGCTGAGGGGCAGCAGGCGTTGCCGGCCTCGTTCTGCCACGCAGGCCGCTGTGAAACCTTGATCTCGGGGTGTTTTTTCCAGTGGTGCAACGTCAGGCGTGTAAATATTTGCAGAGCTGAGCAGAATCCACACGGCTGTGTCACAGTGCTGTGTCCGTCTGGGTCCCTTCCAGCTTTCCATCACGCTGCATGTGTGTAATGCCAGCATCTCCCTGTGGAGTGAGGCAGCGTTAACAAAAGTGTTTTACTTTTGTTGCAGATGCGCATCAGGAGAGTCATCCGTGGTTTTTTTTTCTTTTCAAGTATTAAAAAAAAAAAAAGGGTTAGACTTGACAGTTCTATCCTAGCACTTGTGTGTTTTTTATTTAAAAAACAAACACAAGTAACAGTTGCTGCTTGCACTGCTTAAGAGTCATGGAGTGAATCATAGAATCACAGAATGGCCTGGGTTGAAAAAGAGCACAATGCTCATCCAATTCCAACCCCCTGCTGTGTGCAGGTCGCCAACCAGCAGCCCAGGCTGCCCAGAGCCACATCCAGCCTGGCCTTGAATGCCTGCAGGGATGGTGCATCCACAGCCTCCTTGGGCAACCTGTTCCTGTCATTGGGTTGCAGAGCTGCTCCTCACCTGGAAGCACTAATGGCTCTTCAGAGCTCCTTTGAGGCTATTTGCATGTAGAGGGAGACAGTGTTGCATCATTTTCTGTTTACCACCTGACTGAATCAGCTTCTGATAGCAGTTAATAGTTATGTTGAAGGCATAAGGCCATGGTGTGAAGCAGATTTGCTGGTGTATCCCAAGACAGCAGAATTCATAAAGGCTTTATGGCTTGTTGGCAGCTTGCCCGGGGTGCTGAACTAATCTGTTTGCAATAATGCTTGTTTATAAATATGTGAATGTGCTGAGTTTGCAAATCTAACATGGATTGCACAAGCTTCAGTTTTGCACATGTTAAATATTTATGGATTTCAAGTGCAAAATACTGAAGTAGAAATTACCATACCCACCTGTTTTGGTATGCATGTCTCCTTGCATCCTTTGGAGCTGTTGATATGTGTGCTTTGCTGCCAGAGAAGTGTGTGTATGCACATATGTGTGCTTCTAGATGAAAGACACAAGACATATCTGTAGTGTTGTTATCTGGTGTCCCCTCAAGTCTTTTAAGAAGTGTGAGTATGGGCCAGCTGATGTTTGTGCTAGTTTTCAGGGCAGAGGTCTTCTTGGATATCGGCACTCACTTAATTAACAGTATTTCTGATCATGATTGAATTGTGGTGATCATGGGAATGAGGCTGGATGCATTATTTTTCTCTGTTTATAACTTAATTGAGGTTATAGCATTTGAGTGGTGCTACTTAAACTTCTTTCCCCTCAAGTAAGAAGGTCTTTCACTAAGTGCTTTCAAGGCTTTTCCTTTGCTTAGAAAACTATTACTAGAAAAATAATTTTTTTAAAAAAGTATTTTTAAATTTCTATGTTACAAAAATAATTGCTGTTAACTTACAGTTTTAATTATGGAGTGAAGTTTTATGATATACAGAATTGTACATGAACTAGTAATTTTGTTAGCAGTATATAATACTTGCTTTTGTTTTTGTCTTCTCAGGTGCTCTGTAACAGAGCAAGATTGGTCACCTACCTACCAGGGTTTTATTCCTTAGTCAAAAGAGTTGTAAATCCCAAGGCTTTTTCTACAGCAGGTTCCTCTGGCTCAGACGAGCCTCATGTTGCTGCTACACCTCCTGATTTATGTAAGAACAAGCAAATTCATTTTCTTTGAATTGATGTGCTATCAGAACTGTACACTCCATATAAAGCTAGGAATTCTGAAGCGTGTTTTTATTATGGCAGGACACTTACCTGTGTTCTGGTTGCCTTGGTTTTGTGATTGTGATCGAATAAAGATATTTGAGCTTTTCTTTTTATTGATTCCTTTTTAAATAACACAACGACTAAAGCAAAGCCTTGACTTTTACAGGTCCAAGAACTGTATGGCCCGATGAAGTAATGGGGCCATTTGGTCCTCAGGACCAGAGATTCCAGTTGCCTGGTAATATTGGTTTTGACTGTCACCTAAATGGTACTGCTGCTCAGAGGAAGAGCCAAGCCTCAAAAAGTCTGCCTGATATATTAGCAGAGCCTTCGTCAAATGAAAGGCATGAGTTTGTAATGGCACAATACATAAATGAATTTCAGGTAAGAACAGATTCTGTGATAACAAGCTTCTGTGCAAAGCTGATATTTCTTGTCCAAGAGAAACATAATCATTGTGTCTTCCTTCTGTAAAAAGATATTCCTGATGTTCCAGGTGGCTTTAAAAGATGAACTTCAGGTGAGGTAAGGAAGCCTGTGTAGAACCTGGTGACTTCTGTGGTTGTGTGAAAACTTCAGTATCAAAATGTACTGCTTGCAAAGTCTCACCACCTTTTATCAAATAAGAGTGGTAGTTTCTTTCTTAAGTATTTCATTTAATGGATTTGGCCTTGCATAGTTTAGACAGTGTACTCAAACCTGCCTGTTTGGTTCTGACTCCTGTGGTATTCAGACATGAGAAGCAGACCAATGTAGCAGCTCAACCTCAAGTCTCAATGTGAGAGTATGTTTTGGCATTGGCAAAACTTGCAGCTGGTCGGATGCCATGTTAATGACAGGCAGGCTGTTAATTGCTAGTTTGACTTGCGTGGTCAGACTGTTTCAAGAAATGTTGATTGCTACTAGCTGCTGACTCAACTTTCCAATCTCTGAGTTCTTGACGTGTTCAGACTTCAGAAGTCAGCTAGTAAATCTCTGTTGTAAAAATGCTGTGTAGTGTTTTCTTTTTAAATGTAACTTATTTCAAAGTGTTGAGAAAACGTAAGCTTCTGGTGAGTTCCCAAAAGTCTGTTTTCAGTGTGTATGAATCATAACTTCAGTTGAAAGACCAACAAAAAAAAAAGCCACTAGCCTTTGGTTTACTTAGCACAAACCAGATGCACTGATGGCATGTCTGCATTCTAGAAAGATTACTTGTATAATAAAGTCATCTGTGCACCTGCTGCTGACCTGATGGAATGGAGAAACTGGAAAGGTTTCACAACTGTTTTTCAGAAGGCAGTTAACAAGAATCAGCTTGTTTAATACCAGTGTTGCTCAGGAATCCATGAGCAGTGCTTAGCTAGTGGAAATGCTGAACTACTTCTCTAGAAGACCCAGATCTGGACTGAATACAGAATCTTCCCATGGCTTGCTACAGCAAGCTGGAGAAAAGCTTGGTGCTGCTGAAGCTCAAGTTCCTGTGCTTGAACAGTCAGAGGAGTTTTGTTTGCATAAAACTAATATAAATGAATCTAGCAGCCCATTAATATGATAATATAGTATAGCTCTTTGGAAAATGGCTGTAGCCCCTTAATTATAGTGTAGGTGGTAAGTGTGTGTACTATGAGTTGTCTTTAGCTGGCTAGAATGGGAGCAGAAAACAAGAAATCAAAATCAGCCATTACATTACCATTCTCAGTAAGGGAAGCAGCCAGTGATTAGGAAAAAAAGAAATGGTTTAGCAGCACAACTGCATGATTTGTCAGGCTTGAAGTACCAGCTGATCTGTCCCAATGACTTTACAATCATAATGCAAAATACACGTGGAAAGATATGTATTGAAGTGCATCTAATACCTGTTGTTGGTCTGCATGTTTGTTTTCTATTTTTTCTGGCTACCACTGTTGATTTATAGAATAAATTCAGCTATACTGTGTGGTTAGGGAAACTCTAGGGTGAACTTGCAGTTACAAACTGGTGTTAGGTGGGACTTGATATGCTATTCAACATTAAAGTCTCAAGTTGCTGAAATTTCTTGAATATTAAGGCAAAGTTACAGCTACTAAATCTGCACGTATGTTACATAATAGTTACTATCCCAAAGTAGCAGCTGTTTTAAGTATTTTCTTAAGGATGTTAGAAGCTTAGGTTCTGTGTATCTGGCTTACAGTGCTGGATGTTTAATGTACCCACAAGAATAAGGTTTTCTTAGAAACTACAGAAAATAAAATTAGTATTATTGGAAAACAGTTTGGTATTTCAAGATACCACAGTTCTGTTTTGCAGGCTGCAATTTTAGCTATGGCTGAAATTAGTGGAAGTTCAAAGCTGTTGAACTGTTGTGTATCTTCTGTGTTTTACTCTGGCTCAGGTAATGTGCATATGTCTGAAATCTGTCAATTGCTTTTGTATCAGATGCTTGCAGGCCATTGCTTCAGATGGGTATTTTTCAAAAGCTTCCCTCTTGGTTAAGGTTTTGGATACTGCTGTTAGAATAAAATGCAGAATTTCTGTTCAGATAATAGGCTACGTGTATACTTGTTTCTAACTTTAATATGTAAAAATAAGTTCTAAGTGATAGCAAATCATCTTTCTGTGAGACTTTTTGGGTTTATCAGTAGGCATACAGGCACAAAAATACAGTCTGGTGTGCTATTATGTGATGTTATTCCTGTTGTATATTAAAGAGTAGAAAAGTTAATTATTTTTTTCCCCCCTCAGGGTTCTGATGTTCCACAGAAACAGCAAGTAAATAATGCTGAAACGTATTTTGAAAATGCAAAAGTGGAGTGTGCAGTACAAGCTTGTCCTGAACTGCTACGGAAAGGTATAAGAAAGGTTAACTTTTTTGGATGATTTCAAAACAAACCACAAACTTCTTTAAAAGTAAGAATATGCAAGTAAGGGCTTTGGTGAAACTGACCTTGCAGAATGTTTCACAGAATAAGGAAATCCAAAGTTTGGTATTTCACAAAAGAAAAGGGCATGTAAGATGAATGCTGAAATTTTGCTGTTGATGGTGCTTTGAGTTTCATACGGAACTTAGTGCTCTGCTCTAATAAATGATGTAGAAGGAGGATTGTGATGGTTTGGGCCCTTCCTGTGAGTGTTGCTGTGTCCTGGGAGCAGTCAGAAGCAGATCTGGGACATTTCTACTGAAAGGTTTAAAATAAAAAATAAATGTGTGTGAAATTTCTGGCTTTAACCAGGAAATAAGGATCTATCCACCTCATGCAGAGAACTGGAGTTTGTTCATTTCAAAGCTTTGATAATTACTGTTAATACTGATTTGCTAATAATTTGAATTAGGTTTGGTAATTTATCTAAAACTGAAAAATCTTTAAGAGCAAGCCATAAAATACTGGTTTTACTTTTAGACTTCGAATCAATGTTTCCAGAAGTGAATGCCAACCATTTAACAGTACTGACTGTTACCCAGAAGACTAAAAATGATATGACTGTATGGAGTCAAGAAGTGGAAGATGAGAGAGAAATGCTGTTAGAAAATGTAAGTAGTTGACATAGGTATCATTTTACCTTTGTAAATTAATCTTCTGTGTATTATATGTATATTCTGGTTTATTTCTAGCTCTGGTAGGAATATACCATATTGCACATTTGAGCTAATCCTGTCTGCTGTCTGATAAAATGGAGACAGTGGTTTTTTAACTCCATTATTTTATTATTCCACTTGAAATTTCTCATAAAACTATTAAATTCGTTACAGGTAGGTGGAGTCAACTGTGTATGTTGTAAAATGGTAAAGCAGTACATTAAACATCTGTTGTCTTGCAGTTAAAGGGCAGCATTTTCTCACCTTACTCCCACTTCAGTACACTGTGTTTTGTAGGATTTTTCTGCTTCTTTTTTTTTTTTTCGGTGGTGTAATTAAAATTCAAGCATGGACTTCGTGCATCCTCACTTATAGAGGTGGTTGCTTAATTTCCTCATTCTGGTAACAGATACATCTTTTAGTGCATGAAACGCTAACCAGCCTCGTGAATGCTGTCTCGATGCTCTCTTGCCACTAGATGTCTCTCTGAAAATAGCTTTGTTTCTCATTCTAAAGATTGTTTTGTACCTGCTCCAGCAGGTGTCACTGTTTGCCACTGCTGGCATTTCTTTTTCTTGGCATCTTAAAATGCAACACTTTCATGTATTACTTGTAATTTTTAAAAAACTATTAAAAAAAAAGAATCTGGTAAGATTTTCATTTATGTGCAGAGGGTCAGATTCAGGTTTTAATGCCCTTTACAGCCTCATAAATTGCAGGTGTGGTCTGTAAAAAGCAGTGTTTGGGTTACCACTAAAAGAAACAAGCAGTCTGGAGTATCAACATAAAAATTACACACAAATTAAAATTCCCTTCGTTTTAGTGTGGTGTTCTCTTTGAATTATGTATGGTCTGTTGATCTTTGGCATTGTAATCTGGTCTAATTATATGTTAATTGGCATCTTTCTTCCTTGTGCACCTCCCTGTCAAGTCTAATATAGTCATAGTAGGAGTGCTGGGATGTTAACTGTAACCTCCTGGCCTAAAGGTTACTAACAGCAAGGTCACAGGAAAATGTCTGTTTGTTTGCTTCATAAATGGTTAGAAGTTACATTAAAGATACTAATTTAATGTGAGAGACTTGTGCTGTAGTAATGAGGATTATTTACAGCCAGGTCTAGCATTGACAGTGGTAAATCTCAAGTGGTTACTAACGCTACTCTAAGAGCTTGCAGTGGGTTTGTTATGCTACATCTTTTGATCTAGTGTTGTATCAGAAATGTAATGTCTTAAATGCTGTCTTCAGATGGTTTGCTTATGTTTATGGCTAATCTTCAGAGCCATCAAGATGTAGATCTGGTTACTATAAAGGATAAACTTCCTTATTTTGGACCCCTAAGAGGATGAGGCTGAGTAAAAATAATAATCTTTGTACCTCAAACTTGTCAGGCAACAAAATGAGAGTAAACAAAGTGTTGATTTAATCTGAAGTTAGAGGTATGTCTTTTTATGAGATTAGGGAAATTTCTGTGTGTTTCAAGGGAGCTACATGAATTCTGTTTCTACTTTTCTGCAGATCAGTGCATTTAGCTGTTTGTATTCTTGTACCTGGTTGTGCTTTTCTCAGTGCATGGACAGTTCTAGAGTCATCGTGCATCTTGAGGCTTTGGGGGGAGGGTTCTCATTCACTTTGCAGACTTCTTGAGAAGTTATTCTGTGAATTCCTGTTGACCCTCCTAACATGGATTGGAAACTGCTGATCTAGGTGATTGAGAGCACATAGTTGAGGTCTTGTGTTCTTGTTCTTTTATCTGTGCAAAAATGTGCTGTGTAATCTATAACTGATGTAATTTTGTTGTGCCTTGTGTTATAATATCAGCTTTAAATTAGGTGCTTGTTTGCTATAAAAATGTAGTGACTTCTCTAAGAGATTTTTCCAAAGGGAGGTTTGTGGTGAGGCATTAGAGAATAGGGAGCTTCTTGGTATGTTACTTAATGTAAAATGGTATTTTTATAAACATCAGCTGGTATCCTCTGTTGTAAATAAACCAACTTTGATTGTCTAATAGTGAAAGCTTTGTTCATCCTGACCAAGAATCAAGTACAACAAGAGAATTGGTGTAGACTGGTGTAAAAAGAAAAAAATCAAGTACTTAAACTGTTTGCTGTCATGATGCTGAACTAAAACATTCTGCAAAGATCATTTGCAGTTGTACGTTTGTACTACCAGCACTATGTTGGTAATTTCCTGCTAGCTAAGAGCAGATCTAATAGCAAAACTGTATTTCTATATAAATATATCATGCTATGTTTGGGCTATGTGGAGTCCAGATGAGATTTGTTATTCTGTTGAAGTAATACTTGACTTCTTTGAGAGGGTACCAGGTATGACTGCAATCTGCATGAATAATCAGAGTAATTACATTATTCCACACACAAGCTGTTAATACATTACTGACTGGCACAAGAAACACTTAAAACCGTGTATGATTGGACTAATTTAATATATGCCATTAATTTTAATTGCCTTAATATTCTTAATATTTTTGTTGAAAATGTACCAAATTTCTCATTTACTAGCAGAGAACAAGAATTCATTTTCAGAATATCTTGTGTGTTCTGATCTATGTGTATCTATGTATCTGCCTGGATATAAAACAGTTCTGATCTTCTTCCTTCCTTTTTTATTTTTCTTTTAAGTTCATTAATGGTGCCAAGGAAATCTGCTATGCAATTTGTTCTGAAGGCTATTGGGCTGACTTCATTGATCCTTCCTCAGGACTGGCAGTAAGTTATGTGCTGTGTGGAACCCTACTGACTGAACTAACAGTGGTACTTTGAATTCTTCTGTGTGGGTTAAATCCACCTTTTTCATATTGCCACAAAGCTGTTACCATAGGATAATTCCTTTTATAAATATGATCTATAGATTAATAAAAGAAGGATATTGTCTATGGGTTCCAGTTCAGTAGTACCATCCTTACTTGTCATCTGTCAATCAGCAGTGGGCTTTTGTCAAACTTCCTCTTCTGAGATAAGGCAACCTGGGTACCCTTTTCAAATTGACACAGATCTTACTGTTAAGAGTCTTAATAGTGGCTCACTGAAAAGGTACGTCTTAATTTTGCTGTTTTATAGGAGGTTTCTTAATGTCTGAAGAAGCAGCAGAACTTTTTGAAAACACTTAAGGTGTTTTGTGTGTCTGACTTATTAGACATTCAGACATGCTGATATGCCCTCAGCCCTCTGTCTGCGTTAAAGGTATAATAAACCCTTAAGTATGGGTTACCAATACAAGCAGGGGTGCTCTGTCTGTAGATATCTCAAACAAAACTGCATGTACAATTTCTTACAACAGATGCAGATGGTATTTCTGGATTTAGTTCTGTTGTTGTCTTTTCCTTTTGTTTTTAGAAATGGGTAATTTTGACTCTTAATAAAACTCAACTCTGTTGTTACTGATCTGTTAACCCTCGTGGTACAAAATGTTCAAAGTAGTAATATGGAAAATTCTCTTCTTTTCCACCTAGTTTTTTGGACCTTACACAAACAACACTCTGTTTGAAACAGATGAACGCTACCGCCACTTTGGATTCTCTGTTGATGATCTTGGCTGCTGCAAAGTCATTCGTCATAACATCTGGGGTACTCATGTTGTTGTAGGAAGTATTTTCACTAATGCTGAACCTGACAGCCCTATCATGAGAAAACTAAGTGGAAACTAACAGTCGACAGGGCTTCAGAGATCCACGTGACTTTGGCATTCTTTGACTTGGTGATTCTTTGTAAGCATTGTCAGAAAGTACCACACTTGAAATAATTTTAGATAATAAACTATCTGCTATTTATTTTAGTCTCATGACTATGCTCATCACATGTGATTTGGAACATTATTTGACACTATTTTAACAGATAGTTGTATGTGCCACATGAATTGAAGCTGTGAGTTCCCTTGTCTTTGAGTTCAAACTCAGTTGACTGAATACACAGCTCTGCATAGCCTCTTACTATTATCAGCTGTTCTGTCTTTTGGTGTCTGGCAAATCTGTGTTCTTTGCATTAAAAATCCTGGTGCAACTGAATTTTCTAGGGATTTTGACCACTTACTCTAGTAAGTTAGTGGGGGGGAGGAGCAAGTAATAGTACCATTCTCCCATAATATAAAACTTAATGAAGACTGCAGCAGTGAATACTGGGCTAATTAATTGCTCATGCAGTGCTCTAAAAAGAATAAGTTAAGCTTTCAGGAATCTTTAACTGCAAGTTGTACTACTTACTGAGTCTCTGGATGTAGTAGTGACATCAGCAAAGTCTTAACTCTAGAATCAGTCATCTCTTCGTGTTTTCGCCTTCATGCTGCTTGTGATTTTATTTTCTCAGTGTTAGCTAAATATATTTAACTATTTTATATATGTAAATGTAATTTAAACTTGCTTTTGGAATTTTTTAAGGTCATCAAATACATTGATGTGGGCTAAAGAAAAAGATAACAGAGCAGTGCTTGGATACCCTCATTGTTTTTTCTTTACTTGAGTGCAACTGAGATTTATCTCTGGAATTTCAAAATGCCTCAGCAAAGGGCAATTATGATCAATTGCTGTAATTACAATCAATTACAGAAAACATTTCAGCAGGAAGGTTTCAGTAAATAAGTCGGTCTCTTCAGGTGACATAAAAACCTCCAAATCAATTGAAGTTACTGAAGAAAACAGTGAGGAAAATTCAAGACATCTGAAATTTCCAAGCTGTCAGCTGCCTCTCTACAGAAGCTAGGTAATTAATGTTGCTACATTCACTTTTTAGGACTGTTTGGTAATATTCCACAGCTGTAGCTGTTTATGCAACAATAGGGAATCTTTCAGTCTTGACTCAGTCAAAATTAAATGGAACTTTTGTCTGGATAATGGCTGCCAAGGTGATGTGTTCAGAGGTTTAGCTTCCTTTCAAATAGCTTGGGATTTTAATAATCTTTTTTTTCCATTATTAATAATTAGACTTAACACATGTTCTAGGTTTGTGTACTGTTTCTATTGCTTATTCAGGTTCTAAGCCAGTTTGCCACCAAAGTTTCTGCTGGCTTTAGTAGGCTTAGAACCAGACCCTTACCAAGTGCCTGTATCTGTCCTTGTTAATGACTGCCTGATCGTAGAGGTGCAGTTTAGGAAGGTGCTCTCTGCTGAAGTAGTGACAACTGCCTTCTCAATTCTCACCCTGGCTAAGCCAGCCAGTCAGAGTTTGTGTTGCCATCATCACCATTGTTGGCTCCAGCCTATATGCATTCCAAGACTGAAGTGTATGGCTGTTGAGGCAGGATTTGCTTACTGCTGTGTCGTGGAATCTGCCGTATTTCTAGAACATGAGCTCTTCATCTCCTGTCTGCTGGCTAAGAAAACTGTAATATCCAAAGTCTGGTTTATTTTTTGCCCTTGTTGTTTAAAGGATTTAAAATACTGAAGGAGTTGAAGAGTATCTTTGTATAAAACCAACTGTAGCATAATTCTTTTGCAGAGTACATGTTACCTCACTTGATGATGGAGGGTTATTGTCTTGGTGCACAGTATAGCACCATTGTAGAGAACTTAGCTGGATAAATACTAGAAAACTTCTGTGAAATGCCTCACATAGTTTAACTATGTTGAAGGCTCTTGGTGCTGTCTTTTTGTTTTCTTCCAGTGACTTTGTTGTATCTGCCTTTCTATTTTTTTAATTGAGGTGTATTTTCAGGCAGCTGTCCAAATTAAACTTGAGACACCAATTTCTGAGTTCATACCCTGTAAAGTTTCATGCTGGACAATGTGGGGTTTTTTGGTTGCTTTTTTTAACAGTAGCTTTTCAAATGGCTTTAACCCAAGGCAAAAAAAAAAAAAAAACTCACTGAAAACAGTGGGAATTCTGCCTTGACATCACTGATAGTATTTCATGCTAGAAGTTGAGGGGAGATATTTTGTGGTATTTTTCTAACTAACATTTTCTTGTACATAAAAGCCTACTAAAACTCTCAAAAGAGGCTAGAACTATTCAGTTCTGTTTCCCTTTCATCAGAAGGGATTTATTGTATATTAATTTGTTACTGTGAAATAAAGGTTTTGGAATACAGTGTGATGAGCTGTACTTCTCATAATAAAAAAAGCAACAAATGAAACACTTCTCAGTGTCACAAATTGAGATCCTTTCTATGGTAAATAAATGAAAAAGATTTCATGCAATGTTATGTCTGTTCTTAGCAGGGATTAATGTTCTGTGGGAAGTTCTTATCAGTTTGGAGAGAGTTCCTTAAAGTTTGGCACTTCTAGTGAAGAGTGAATGAGTTATCCTGTCAGTGAACTCAAGTTATTCGAAGCGATGCTGAGCATCACAAGAGCAGTGCTGTGACTGTGGTTATTTGCAGGCATTAATACACACAGTGAACGTGCCTAAAATATGCAAGGCTAAAGATTGTTTGTCCTGGTCAGAAAGCTAAAACAAAATGTTATAGGTAAAGTACTTGCCACTTAGTTGCCTTAAGATATGAAAACGGTGCTAAACGTCTCTTCAAAGAATTCATACTAAAGTTGAGAAATAACATGGAGTATTTTGTCTTAAATAGCAGAATCTTATGTTACCCTGGTGAAGTTCTACACCTCTGTGAAGTAAAGAACCCTATTCTCCTTCCACCAGCAGCCACCTGGCTGGAATTGAAGTCCTCAAAGTAATCCAGAAGGTCAAAGGTATCTCTTGGGGGAGAAGGCCCCTTTTCTTTGACTTGCCAGCTCGACTGCAGGCTTGTTGCCCTTTCTTGCTAATTGCAGTGTCACTCAACAAGAGATTCTCTGGTTCATAAACATGTAGGGAAGCATGGCTGTAACATTAGACAGTTCCAGGTAGCTGATCCAGAAGGGTAAGGCTGCAAGATATAAGCTGCTTTGTCACAGTAACAGATGTAAAACTTGGTCTGTGAGCTTGCTTGGCTCTAAAAGGCTCTGCCCAGTCAGGCTAAACTAATTGCAGAAATGTTGTAGGTAGCGGGGGGGGAAATGCATAAACATGGCAGATCTCTGGTGTGTGTGTTGACACTTGTTCAAACAACTGGAGTGAAGTATGGAGTAGTGATAGAATTTTTATACTTTGAGGGATTTGTGTAATCTAAGCCTTCAGAGACCACTCACCATGCTCTTTGAGTCAGCTCTCCCCTCAGGCAGCAGTAGGGCAGCTCTCTGTGAGATTTGCCTGCTGGACTGAAGGAAACATGAAGGCTGATGGTTGATTAAAAAGCATGGAATGGGTTTCAAGGTACATGTCCCAACTGAAGCTTCTGAAATGTCTGATGGATTCAGTTAAGGAGGTAATTTTCTAATACAATGTAATTCAGATATTCAGCATATTTATTTTTGAAACTAATTGAGAAATTAGGTAGTTGATTAAACCATAGTGTTCACACTTAAAAGGTGATCATGTGTATTAAATGAATTCCTGCTCTTGCTCCCAAGCTTGTGCTTGGTAGGCACTGATAACAGCTCTTGCATTTGGAGATGGCTTGTTAGCATTGCAGCAGGGATGTTAAAGGTTGGCTCATGGAGGAGATATGTAACTGGGGAGAGGATAATTGAGGACTGAAGTACTTCACTTGATCAAAAGGAAATATATATGCTTATTTTTAGATACCCTATTTTGTTAGAAAGATGGATGTTTCCACACAATTTTCATGTGTTTTTGGAATTTTTTTCAGATTTTTTTTATGCAAAGTCATAAACCATAACTACTTATGTTCTGTATGAATAGCTGTCTTTACTACATATGCTTTAACTTATTTTTTTTTCACTGCGATGTTTCTAGCACAGTGGTTAACATTACCTCATGGGCTGTGTCCTGCATATGGATGGGTTGCTGTGAGTGCACATGAGTTTGTTTGAGAAAATGTATTACCTGTGCAACTGATTTGTCAGGAAGGAGTGTTAAGATTGTTCAGTATTTTCCAGCGATTAATTATAGATTAATTCCAGAAAATTAATTAAAGGTTAAAAAACAAACAAACAAAAAACAATCATATATAGTGTGATATAATGTGACATTCCAGCAGTTTATTTTAATTGGTCACCTTTCTTCTCAAAGCATAACTTAAGCTGGGCCAACTACTTTTTGCAGTTAGTGATGAACTACTGAAGTTCTGATCCTGTTACTGAAACTGCTGCCCAAAGACCTTCCCCCATCAATCAGAGACATCTGCAGCACCTGAGCTCTAATTGCTGCACTGATACCACCTGGGTGTTGTGTTGCTAGCCATAGGGAGCAGGAGGCTGACTGTTCTGCATCATTTTATTGAAGCAGGCAGTGCTAATTTCCACCAAGTAAAGGTGTGAGGAGCCATACTTGAATGCACCCAGGAAGGCTTCACACTGCCATGCACATGTGCTTTGTGTCTCAGTTTTCGTGCAGGCTGTCACTTGCACAGAGGAGCTTTTCTGTGTTGCTGGAAGGTGCCCAGGAGCTACATGCCCATATGCACACACATCCCTGTGCCTGAGGCTTGCAGCAGCTGCTCAGTGACAACAGCAAGTTGTATCAGCTGCAGGAATGGTGATGTGTTGGCTTTTTCATAGAATCCTGCCCTATTATAGTTCCCTTTGTTTCTAAGGGAGCAACAGCATCTGACAGTGCTTTGTCAGGAGCAAATCCTCACTGGGGGATGCGTGCAGCACTGCTTACATCTCCCACTAAGATATCTTTCAGAGACACAGTTTGCTTTTGGCACGTGTGGGTTTTCTCACACAAGTTCTAACCTTGGTGTGTGTATGCTCTGCATGTGCCTTCACCAGGTAGCTGCCATAGAATAGTTTGCTCTTGATCACATCCCAAACATCTCAAAAGTTTTTATGTTGCAGTAATAAGTAGAAAAAACATCTCCTTTACCCACTGGTACACAGGGAACACAGGTGGGTAATAGGTTCAACATGCTGCAGCTGTGCTCGCTTGCCCAGCCCAACCCAGTTTGTCCCAGAGCACAGAGCTCTTCCAAGCTGCTGCACTCCTCCTGGCTCTGCTGAGGTGGTTGGTTAGTTGGTGCACCCCTAACTATGGTAACTTGTGCTCTCTAAGGTGTGCTTAGCTCTGAAAATAATTAAAATTGCCATAGAAGTTCATTGCAGGGGAGCCCAGGACCACTAGAGTTGTGTCTGCTTGGGAGACCTGAAGCTGGAATGTCTTGAACCAAGTTATTTTCTAATTTCAGTAGAATTTAAACCTTGGAGCGGGACTGGTAAGTTGGAATTTATTTTCAAGACTGCTGTGTTTACTTCCAGGAGTTATGTATGTTTTCTTCAGTGTGTGAGGGCAGAGTGTGGTGATGGGGTGGGCAGCTGGTGCAGCCTGTGTGCCAGGAGCAGCAGTTCTGTGTGCTGCAGATACCATCATTCCCACATTGTGGTCTAATGAGATTTCATGCATTTTTGGGATGATTCATCTCATTAAATTCTTTCTGTATGTTCAGCTTATTGCTTAATGCTAAAGAAGTTATTAAAAAAAATCCCTAGCTATGTAGCTAGCTGTTCTGCCTACACATTTAAGTGCTGTTTGAGCCATGACTTTTCACTACTGCCTGTGCATATTCAGCAGTTACCTGTGGTCAGCTCTGTCCTCCCCATGTGCATGCTCTGCTCTTTGAAGAGCTATCTGCTTACATGTATGACAGGTGCTGTAAGGGACATTTGCAGATGGAGGGGTGGGGGTGTGCAAGCCACACCATAGCACAGCATGAGGTTCTGCATGCATGCATGAAGTCAGATGCTGAAAATTGGTGCTTGCATGTGGTAATTATTGAGAAATAAGGATTTTCAGAAGTATTTCCCCAATGAAGCTGATGGAGCTAGCATGCTGCATTGGCAGTATGTCTTCCCTCAGCCTATGGTTTATGTGCTCACCCATCCACAGTGGGGCCTATTGGCCTGTGGGGAGTCCCCTGCCCCTATGCACACCTGACACCCATACTAAGCCCCCAGTAATTAAGAGTTGCAAGCTGCTTTTGTCTGCCACAGGCTGCTGCAGGGCCTCTGAAATAGCAGCATTTCCCCTTAGCAATGCCATTTTGCTCTGAGTGTGTTCCAGCAAGGTTCAGGCTGCTATTTCAGGAGCTGCACAAACACAAAGCTCTGATCAGTGCAGGCTCTGGTGAGGGAGAGCTAACAGGATTATGAGACTGAAATTTCATGCAGCTGGGTGTTATGCTTCAGCTGGAAAGTAATCTCCTCCAAGAGAAGTGCTGTGCCAGCCAGGCTGGGAGAGCTTTTGGAAACACGAACTTCTTCTGGGGCTGGGGATTCTGGGGAGCTGTGCTTTCTAATTAATGTGGGATTGTTTCAGTAAAGCTCTTCAGGCTGTGATCAATGCAGCATTGCTCTATAATGAGGATATCCATGTTAAGCTGCGTTTTTTATTTTAAGATCAGGTGCAACATGACCATTCAAAGAGCAAACCTGGCCTGGGTTGGACCTGGGGGAGGCTGCAGGGGTCAGTCAGGTCCAGCTGCATGCAGAGGATTCAAGAGGATGTCCTCAGCTGTAAGCATGCTGCTAGGACCCAGAAATTGATAAAATTCAGCTATTGAACCAGAATGGTGGAGCCAGAGGTTGGACTCTGTGATCTTTATGGATCTCTTTCAACTCAGGATGTACAATGGTTGGGGCTGAGTGGCTAGAAAGTTGCACAAACTGAAAAAGGGATCTGAGAGTGTAGGTTCACAACTGCTGACTGTGAGCCAGCAGAATGCCCAGGTGGCCAAGAGGACCAACAGCATCCTGGCTTTGTGTCAACAATAGTGCACAGGCTGCCTGGGAAGTGGTGAGGTCATCATTCCTAGGGGTGTTCCAGAACCTGAGGGATGTGGCACTGAGGGATGTGGCACTGAGGGATGTGGCACTGAGGGATGTGGCACTGAGGGATGTGGCACGGGCTTGAGGATCCTGGAGGTCTTCTCCAGCCTTAATGGCTCTGTGGTTTTATGGCAGAGACCCAGAGATCAGCCTCTAGAAGAAGAACAGGAAAACATAGCATCACTGGTAAGTGTTTATTTGAAGGAGTAATGGCAGACCTCATAGTCAGCTTGTCTGTGTCACTGCTTTGTCAAGCAGGCAGATTGTTGAGGAGGGCCTCCAGCAGTTGAGGTTTACAACCCATCGAAGCCATGGAAACCATTCTGAGTGCCGTCAAGCCTTGGGTTCAGGTCTGAAAGTGACATGCAGGCATCCCACAGAGGTGAAGCAGGGGCTGGTAAATTGTTAGATTTGTTTGGAAACAAAATTGTTAAAAAGTCAATGCCCGAATGAGTGAAGTTCTTGGATCAGTCAGGGAAATCAGTGGCTGATGGTGGTTGACTAAGGAGGAGTTGTGTGGATGTAGGGATTACTGTCAAGGGGAATCACACCCTGAAATGGCAGTAAGTGGTACAAGAGCCTGTCAAGTGACCTAATGATGTTCGAGTTGTAAAGAGTATATGAGTAAGAAGAAATGGTAATTGGTTGGAAGCCCATTCTGATGGAAGCTGGAAATAAGTGTAACCCTGCAAAGTGTGCATGGAGTTGATTCAGAGAGTTGGTTCTTAAAAAAAAATAAAAATAAAAAGGGGAAGAAAAAAAACCACACTGATTCTGAACCAATGTTGCTTTCAGCATTGCTGTTCCCATGATCTTCCCTTTCAGGTCTTATGAGTTATCAACTTTTTAAATTGCTACTAATAGCTCAAACTGGTTTGTGTGTGCCTGTGCTGCTTGTGAGTGGAGGTGGAAAAGGGGGTCTGGGAGGGGAATGGCAGCAGGGTAGCGTGTGTTGGCAGCACTGGGCAGTCTTCCATGGCACTGGGCATGTTGTAGCCCACCAGGGCTGTATTTGGGCAAGAAAGCACAGGCCTGTAGCCAGTGCCAGCAGGATGCTTGTATGGATGAGCACATCCTGCCTGTATGGGTTCCAAGTTCCATCCAGCATGGGCCAGAAAGCTGTTGTGTCAAACTGAACACAGGGTGAGGAAAACATGTTTTTGTTCACAGGTAGATAAGTGAGAACAGCAAGCAGCGTTTGCTGTCATAGGAGGATGGCTAAACCCCTGGACTATTGAAAACAAAACTGTAAAAATGAATATTCAGAAGGGTCTATAAGGAGGGGGATGCAGGAAGGGTGAGCCCATGTGCTGCCACTGAAAGCACTGCTTTAAATTGTGTTTATTCAGCTGAGTAAGAGCTACTGGGCTTTTTTTTTTTTTTAAATAACTTTTTTTAAGCTTTGAGCTATGAGTTCCACAATACCATATTCAGTCCTTGTGCCTGAAGCTGTTTGCATCCTACTAAGTGTTGGCTGCAGGAGTGCAAATAACTGCATGAGAATCAGCAGAATGCATTGGGGCTACATGAGCTGAGAGCAGAGTCGTGGAACACTCACAGCTCTTGGAGAGAAGTTGAAAGAAAAGAGGATCTGGGGTCACAAATGGAGGCCCAGCAGTGGCAGGGCAGCTGCTCCAACCCCCCTGTGGGAAGGAAGTAGGGGCACAGGGCAGCAGGCAGCAGTTTTCTGATAGTAAGCTTATCTGACACAACACCTGTATGATTAAAACATTTATTTGTATAACTGTACATTATTTACAATAGTTAAAAAAAATTAGGCATTTAAAAGGCATCTCCCAGCCTCAAAATAAATATGGTACAGCTCAGCATTGTATGCCCAAAGAGACCCACAAAGAGAGCAGAGGGAGATTCACGTGCAGACTCTCAGCTTTTTCTCCATGGCCTGTTCCCACTCTATCATGGGTCTGAGCTGATGCAGTTCATGCCACTTCTTCCTCCTCTGACTGCAGGAGGAATTAGCATAGCACGCAGGGTTAGGGGAGTGAATTGGGTTAAAGTGTTTTTCTGTTAAACACAGGATCGTACAGAATCACAGAAGGGACCTCAAGGAGCACAAAGCTCCAACCTGCCAAAGAAAGGGCCAGCATCCTCCACATTTAGTACCAGACCAGGCTGCCCATGGCCCCATCCAACCTGGCCTTGAACATCTCCAGGGATGAGGGGGACAACAGCAAGCTGCATAGAATCACATTAAGGTTGGAAAAAGCCTGTAACATCACCAAACCCAACCGCTCCTCCCATGCCCACTGCCTGTGTTCCTCAGTGCCACATCTTTGTGGTTCTGGAACACTCCCAGGGCCAACAATGTCATCCTCCCCTCCTCTTTCTTCCTCCCTGCAGCTGGCTCTGTGGGAGGAATGGCATTGAGGTCACAGCTGGTTGGGTCCTGGGGTGGCCAGGTGGGTTGAGCTTGCATAAAGCAGCAGATTGCTGCTACCCCTTAATTGTAGAGATCTGTGAGCAAGTCATAGGAGAACCAAAAGGACCTCCAAATGCAAGGCTTTGAGTGCCAGCAGCTAACCTGTCCTCACCACCTAGTTCTGCATGAAAAGGTAGAAAGGGAAAAACACAGTGCTCAATTTTGACCAAGAAACATATAGGTAAATTAATTAAATAAAGACCCACCACCAAAACCCTCACAGCAAGAGGTACCAAGGCATCCAGTGTGCTTTCTGACCCCGGAGAAATGCCCCAGACCCAAAGTGTGAGTGCTGCTCTCCATTCTCATCCAGGAACAGCACTTCAGCAGGTAGCACAGCTCCAAAGGGCTGCACACAGCACTATTTTCTCCCTCTGTCCACGCTTTGTGCTGTAGCTCACCCAAAACAAAAGCATGGCAGATCATAAGCTGTAACTTGGTAAAGCTCCTTGGAGCATGGCTGGCCACCGTTAGTTCAAAAAAGAACAATTTGGGACCTTTGTAAAAACTTTTCAAAACTAAAAAACAAAAGAAGTTCTGCTAAGCTTCTTTAAACCAAGACCACAGCCACCCTGTGTATACAGCTGAGCTTAAAAAAAACAAATGAAGTAGATTTGTTTTCAACAGTGACACAAAATATTATATAATTTTATATATATATATATACTCTTATGATAATTTATATACTACAGGCTTACCCACTTGCAAAACCACTTTTTTTCTTTTTTCCCCAGCAATATTAGCAGTAAGAAGCTTTTAAATGCTTTAGAGCCTACTCAATATACAGAAATAAATATTGCATACGTGGTGCCCAACCAAACCAAGAACCACAGGAAGCTGTTGAGGATCCCCCACCCATCCCCCCATCCCTCAGTACCACCTCCCCACAGCTCTGGGACACCCCCAGGGATGGTGATCCCCCACTCCCTGGGCAGCTGTGCCAGTGCCTGACTGCTCTTTGGGAAAGAAATGTTTCCTAATATCTAACTTATCTTTGTTGCTTATCTTGTGTGTTATTCAATGCGTTTTCCCAGACCAGGCAAGCAGGACACTGGGGTGACTGCTGTGACAAATGGTGAACAACGAACCAGTGAGAACATTTTGAATAAGTGAGTGATGGTTAAAGTGATTTGGTACTTCTAAATAAGAAAAATCATGGAGATGAGATAGACATTAAGAAAAGTCTAAGCCCAAAATCTAGGCACATCTTGCATGAATTTCCACCAAAACCAGCAAAAAAATGTGGGTTTTAGTCCTCTTTGAATCCATCTCCAGTATCACCAGTTAACAAGAGTCAGTTTTCAGATTCAGTTCTGAAGTGTGGGTCCTGAGCACACGTGTGGGATCCTGGTCTATGCCATGAGCCCCAGCAGGAGACACACCGCTGTCAGCACAGCACGACCTGACAGCCCCGGGGTGCTGCTGAGAGGGGACAGGGTGGTGAACACAGCATCACTTGCATTCCTGGGCAGTGGCAGGTTGCAGATGGTGCCTTCGCAGCAGGATGTGCAGATCTGAAAGACAGCAGGACTGAACTCGGTTACCTGGCAAATATCACTGCCACCGAGCAAAGATGGAGGGCAAATAATACAGCATTTGGAGATCAGCATTGTGGCTACGGTTTTTTTTTTTTTTAAGTAGGGGGTTGGACTCTATGAGCTCTAGAGGTCCCTTCCAACCCCTACAATTCTGTGATCTCAACCCCTTCCAGTTGTGCAGTAATAATGCATCACCTATTGCAAGGAGAACATCCATCCTGAAGGGCTGCTTTTCTCCTCCCCAAAAGAGTCAGCTGATGGATCAAGTTCCTTTGGAATTGTTGCTGGATGGACTACAAGTTGCATGTTGGTTTTGACCCATTGCAGCAAGGCTGACCACCAGCCTTTAGGAAACTTATTTATGCATAAATATCCCATTTTTCAGACCCAAACCCTCCGCTGCCGTGGCTCTGGGGCTCTCTGCACATCTCAGGAAGGAACCAGGGATGTTCGGTGGGCACCAGCTGCCATGCTGCGGGCACAGCCCTGCCTGGTTTCACACAAAGAAGCAACCCTGGTCCTCACCTTGTACTCCTCGTGCTTTACATATGTGCATCCAGTAGACAGACAGTCCTCCAGGGGCACGCAGCGCTTGGTGACGGACACGCTCTCTCCAGTAACTCTCATCATGTGTTGGCTGAAGCAGTACCTCGTGCCTAGAAGGAAAGGAAAATGTGTTCATTTGACAAAGCCAAAGCTTGTGGTGGTGTACAAGCAAGAAGAAACAAGGGAGAAACCTTGCACTTCAAAAAAAAAAAAGAGGATTCTGATGTATTCATTACAATACAATGGGGTGAGCTTACCCCACTAAGACCTCTCTCCACATCAGCAGTTTTCAGCCAGGCTGGTTCTGATGGTTATTACTAAATGCAAACACTGGGGCCACGACTGTCTCCTTCCACAGCGAGCTGCAGGCTCCACATGCTGGTAATGTTGTCATTAACTGGATAAAACACCACCTACTGCTGTCTAAACAGGGAGTGTCCAGGAACGCTGGTCTCATCCCATGCCAACCAGCCTGATCTTTTTTATTATTGTTGATGTTGAACAGATTTGAGCTCTCAAAGCAAATAAATTCTAAAGCAGATAGTGCTCCCTGACAGGCTGCAAGCACAGCTGGTTAGTCTGGAATTCACATTAATGTCTTTTTCCTTCCAAGATAAATATTTTTGTGAGGACACTCGTAATATCCTACAGGAGACCAGAGCAGTGCCAGATAGAGGCAGAGCAGCAGTGCTGAGCTTATGGAAAGCACTGGAACAAGCCAGCAGCATCCCAACATGGCTCCCACCTGTGACACTGCCCGCGTGCCCTGCTCATGAACAGGCTCCATCAGTGGATGGGGACAACCTCAGTGTCTCTTATCTGAGACAGGGGAGGTTTAGGTTGGATATGAGGAGGAAGTTTTTCCCCCAGAGGGTGGTGAGGCACTGGAACAGGTTGCCCAAGGAGGCTGTGGATGCCCCATCCCTGCAGGCATTCAAGGCCAGGCTGGATGTGGCTCTGGGCAGCCTGGGCTGCTGGTTGGTGACCCTGCACATAGCATCACTGTGGTCCTTTGTAACTCAGGCCATTCTATGATTCTATGATTGCTGATATCTTGTACCCAACACTCTGAGTTGTCACCATCGACAGACTGATGGGCATTATGAACCAAAAATAATGCAAACATCTTTGATCAGCAGTTTGGACTCCCCTGAGGTGTGTCACCAAAGCATGACCTTGTGCCAGAAGGGAGGGAAGTGAACAGAGCAAGGTCCAGGTCCCATATAATAGAACCATAGATTCATTAAGGTAGGAAAAGACCTCTGTGATCCCTGAGCCCCACTCCAATCCATTCCACCATGCCCACTGCCCACATCCCTCAATGCCACATCCCCACAGCTCCAGGACACCCCCAGGGACTAAGTGAGCTGGAGGATTACAGGGAGTAGATGGAAGTCCTAAACTTCACCAACTGCAAAGGGACAGAAAAGCTTAAGGGATTATTTGCATCACTTACACACCCTTCACGTGGCAGAGGCTCACAACAGCTGGCATTTCGGTGCGCTGGAAGCACAGCAGCTCAGTGCTGTCCCTGCAGTTTGACCATTGAGCAGGTATAGCAAGGTAGGGTGAAGTGAGACACTGCAGTGTGGCTGCTTACCTCTTGGACAATAGACATCCGGAGCCCAGCGGTTGCATTCGTAATTATCTGCTGCCCTTTCGCAGGTGAAACATTTAAATCCGTGAGGAAATGGCGTGGCTGGAAGGAACAAACTGCACTCAGTTAAAACGACCCAGGCACATGGCAACGTATTCTTTTTTTGGACATATCTTATTACAACCATAGCTGCCAGCTCCGTCAGGATTAGTCCTTGCTTTGTAAGAATCCTGCTACCACCAGCAGCACCAAGGGGGCTCATTCATCTGCAATAAGGGCTCTGTTCAGCTGTATTTTCCCAGGAAAATTGCCCACTACCCACTTCAAAGGGCACTAACGCAAGCAAGGAGTGCTTGTTCTCTTGGAATCAGAGCTCACATCCAGTACTGTTACTTTACCAGGGTTGATAACAAAATATCAGGTGGATTAAGTACTTCTGGACGCTGTCCCACCAAAAAAATAAATGGCCACTGTTGAAGGCAGGCTGATGTCCCCAAAGGGAAGAAAAATCGATCTGCTGAACCTCCAGTCATTAACAGCAGCCTCCATCCTCGTTTATCTCGCCAAACGAAGAGCACAGCTTCCTAAGTGGACTCCTGGCAGGACTTCTGTAGCACATTCAATACGTCTTCAAGGTGCTGCCACCATCTCAGAAGCCAAATGGTGACCGGGTCACCTTTATCTCCATGGGGCCAAGCAAGCTGAGCCTCTGCAGCCTCGTGAGATACATCTTGCTCCTCACCCAGCCCTGGAGTGGTGTAAGCCAGGCCCCATTTGGGTACAGGAGGTGGCCTTTGCCATGCAGGAGGCTTGTCAGCTGCAATTGCCCAGTGGCTCAGGGTAAGCACTGCAAGCATCCCAGGTGGGGCTGACACAGCACTAAAGGAACAGCCTGGGGTGGGACAACAGCACACTATTGATGATACTCATGTCTTGCCCTGGGCAGCTAGCAGGTCCTGGTTACAGATGTAACCGTATTGGAATTTCATTTTGCCTGCACAGAATTCAGCCGAATTCTGAAAAGACAAGTTTTCTTTGGGAGCAGATGGCAAGCACAGCTCTACAAGCAATCCTGTAGAATTAAATTAAAACTTGTACATGATAAACCAGCTATTAAAAGGACGGTCCATGGAAGCTCTGAAGACACATAACCCCACTACATCATTATTTCAGGCACTTCCTGTAATAATCATGGAGTGGTTTGGGTTGGAAGGACCTTACAGCCCATCCAGCTCCAACCCCCTGCCATGGGAAGGAACGTTTCCCAGCAGATCAGGATGCCCAGGGCCCCATCCTATGAGGTTCACATGGGCCCTGCTCTCAAGCCTGTCCACGTCCTTCCAAATGGCATTTATTATGGAAGGGATAAGTCAGGAATGATTTATACCAGAGACACACGTGGTCATATTTCACCCACACATTGACATGCTTGAGCAAACTGCTTGGTCTCAAAGGCCAGAAACCCTTGAAGGAAAAAATAGAGCAAACCCCCATGCCCCTGCCCATCATTCCCCCCTGGAAGCCACGGTCTGGTTTCACCCTGCAGGCAGTGCTTACTGGAGGGGTGGAGGTAGACGATGTCCTTCACCGTGAAGTCGCGGGGCTGTGCAGCCCTCAGCCAGCCTGCCACGAGGCCCAGCAGCAGGACGTGGGCCAGCCTGGGCTGCGAGGCCATCACCCATCCACGGCCGTGCTCATGCGGTGGCCCTGGGAGCACAGCAGCAGATGGCAAGCTCACCTAAGGATGGCAAAAACAAAGAAGTCAGCAGAGTGCACGCTGTGGATGGAGCCCGCCTCACCAAACCTCCCCTGGTCCCAACTAGGCAGCGGTGACTTCTTCCTTTGGAGACACCCAGACATGGGCAACCTGCAGTTGGTGACCCTGCTTGAGCAGGGCTTGGACCAGATGGACCCCAAAGTGCCTCCAACTCCAGCCATCCTGGGGTCACTTTAGTTGTCCTTCCCAGTCTGGATAAAAGAAGCTGCCCAAACACCCCATATAAATATAAATATAAATAGCAGGTCTGGGGAGAGCCCAAGGGATGGGGTTTTTTTTGTTCTATAATGATGTAATGTTATTTAATAAATCAAACAATTATTCTGGAGAGGTTGTCCAATGGAAACGATGCAACCTTCTGCTGCTATCCCCAAACCTTTGTCTGGCAGGGGAACTTTTTGTTCAGCACCACCTGCGACCAGCACTGCAATGGCAACTCGGGGCCTTCCATGCTCTTATCTGGAAACAGCTCTACTATTAAAACACTGTGAAATCCATAAAAATACAGAGGGAAACAGATAATGCACAGCGTGGTGCCTGAACCACTGTTATTTTAACATCAAAGAGAAGGAAGTGCCAGTTTCCACTGGGTTTAGTCCACAGGTGTGCATCAGCCAGGGGAAAACGAAATCATCATTAGAAATATCAGAAATAAAACAAGCCTCTCCCAGCCACACGAAAGCAAGAAGGACGAGGATGAGTTCATACCCACAAACAAATAACAAGTCATTGCTTTTTTTGCTTTTAAAGGAGACACACATGGGTCACCGTGGATGTACTTAACACCTGCAGAATTCCGTGCAGCACCAGCTTTCTGTTACCCTCTTTCTCCCCTCCAAACGACACTACCCTGGATTGCAGTTTGGGGGATTAGTCGCATGGTATTTAGATCATACAGCCTGTTTACCAAAGGTCCGAGGCACTGACACAGAAGCCCCAGTTAACTCAATCTTTCCAGCTTCACCGGCACCTTTCCGATTACTTCTTCCTGCCCTCTGCCCTGACACGCCGCGGTGGAAATTAACCATTGAGTTCCTTAAGCAGCAGCCCAATGGCTCCTTGTCAGGTCCCATTAGGGCAGTGACATATCGGCCTTGCCAACACCACTGCTGCAGACAACGGGAGGTTCCCACCCCACTGCCTCCCCCGGTTCAGGGATAGACACGCTGGGGAAGGAGGCAGCTGGTGTGAGGATGCGTTTGTCTGCTTGGAATTGTAGAATCGTAGCATCGTTAAGTTGGAAAGATATTGAGGCTATGGAGTATGTCCAGAGAGAGGCAACGATGCTGTGTGGGTTCTGGAGCACCAGTCTTATGGGAAGAGGCTGAAGGAATGGGGTGGTTCAGTATGGAACGGAGGATGCTTAGGAGAGACCTCATCCCTCCCTACAACTCCCGAAGGGGGAGAGGGGGAAGTGATAGATTGAGAGGTGATGGCCTCACGTTGTGCCAGGGGAGGGTCAGTGTGGGAATGAGGAACCATTCCTTCTCCAAAGAGCAGTCAGGCAGTGGCACAGCTGCCCATGGAGTGGGGGGTCACCATCCCTGGGGGTGTCCCAGAGCTGTGGGGTGGCACTGAGGGATGTGGGCAGTGGGCATGGAGGGGTGGGTTGGGAGTCCTAGAGGTCTTCTCCAACCTTAATGGTTCTGTGATCATCAAGTCCAATCACAGCCCATCACCACAATACCCACTAAACCATGTCTTCCTGCAACCATCCCCTCCTTGCTCTCCAGGCCCCATCTTCAAATTTCTCTTATCTTACATTTCTCTTATGTTTCAGCTGTCTTATCTTTCACTTGTAAGATCCTGCGTCGCAGTGCCCTAAAGCAATATTTCTGCTGCCAGAGAAATAAAAAAGCAGAACAAGTGAAAGCTCCCTCTCCCCAGCAGGATGCATCAGCTCTGAAGTACAAAGCACAGCGTGTCAAGGCAGCAACATCTGTGAGAGTCTGCAGGAAGCTCACTGCATGGGGGACATGTGCACGGCCAGTGGTACCAACGTGCACCATGCTGAGGTGATGTGTACCAGGGGTAAGCAAAGTCAAAGGAACTGCAAGCAGTGCAATGCAGCAAGATCTGATCCTGGATGCAACACAAGCAATTGCTCCTTGTGCACATTAAGAATGGAAGAGTTTCCGCTACCGAAGCTACAACACATGCATTAATTTGTATCTCTCTGCAGCTTCACAGACTGACCCCCAATCTTCTACCTGTGCAATGTTATCACTGTCTGAAGACAAATGTGGATGAAAATGACAGCTGCTGTCTGCCCACCAGCACAGGTCAGCACCAGCACCTTGATTAAGACTGAGGTAATGGCCAAAATGTGCCATGCTCCATCCGGGATGCACACAGCTTCCATCGACAGAACCCGCAGGAGCTCTTGTGAAGGGTTCACTGGTGCTCCTCAATCCCAGCAAGCAAGAGTAATTAAACAATCAAACACAATTAGTGCTCAAATTACTCCCAGAAACGTGGTCAATCTAATCTCCTTGCTGCTAATTACAAAGCCTGGAGTTCATTGAGCTAAAAGCCCGCATCCTGGGGCAGTGCAGAGGGTACAATATGTTCCCTCCCACCCTCTTCCCTCCTATCCAACCCAATCTTTAACTAAAGATGCAAAACCGAGATATTTTCATTAGATGACCCTCATTGCATGTACCTTAATTGTGACCAATGGGAGCTGAAGTTTCTGGACCTGTACAAGCAGTTGTTTTAATGAGACGTTATAAAACTTCACTTATATTCTTGCATCCCCTGATGCTAGTTCAGATTCAAGGAAGAAAGCTGACTTTGCTGTGTTTTAAATGTATATTTCACATAACCAGTATTTGACTAAAAAAAAAAAAAACAAAAAAAAACAAAACAGCTTAAAATTCAGGCAGGTCATAATATTCATCAGAGAAAATACAATTTATGGAAATTCAAATCTGTCAAACTGAGCTGAGGAATTCCTGGTGAGATGCAATCTATTCCCATTTCCCTCCACCACTCACAACTAATTTACATTTTACCCAACGCAATATCCAAGCCTGTGACTACGAACAATTCTGAACCGGCAGAAAGACGGACGGGAACGGTAAATCAATGCGAGGTTTAACCTGCAGGTTTTTGCATGGCAGAGGGGCACCCCAAACCCAACGGATCTGTCCTAATTTGGGAATTCCGGCAGGCGACCTCGCTGCTCCTGGGGCCGGTGCACGGGGCTGACCTCAATGCGTGGCACCCAGACAGCCCGGCTCCACGCGGACGGAGGGAAGGAAACCATGCATGAGCACAGAAATCCTGGGATTTTCCAGCTAATAAAGAAGCAAAAAGGAAAAAAAAAAACAACCATCCAGCAAGACCCGGCAGCTGGGCCCCTCTGCAAAGTGGGGGGGGCAGGGTTAGACTGTTAAATTCTCTCCTAAATAAATGCTATATTCACTGGGGTGGCTGCGAGGGCTCCCGTCTGGGATGCTGCCTGGCTGGACCACGCACTGGGTACAGAAAGGCCCCAGCTCCCTAATCTGCTCCAGATAGGCAAACAGGGTGAATTTCTGTATGGCAGTGGCCATTGGGATGACACCAGCCATGTCCTTCCTGTTTACATTTCAGGTAAAAAAAAAATAAAGAAATACCCAAATAAATGAAGAGAAGTGAAATAGCAGCACCCAAGAGAATTGAAAATACGAAGGCATTTTCTGAAGGTTACGCCTAATAAAGCACAATAGAAACAAGAGAAGCCCGAAGACTCTCATAAATCTACAGAATGCAAGTCATGAAATTGCAAGGGAGAAATCCAAAGCCCCAAGAGATAACTGTAAGGACTGATCTGCATCCTGGATACAGAGCTCCTCCCAGCACAGATTCCCAGGTCAGGCACTGGGTGAACACAGCTACAGAAGAGCATTTGGAGGAGCAGCTCATCCCTCTGGGCTCTTAGCTTATGTTTGTATTAAACGTGGAGAAGTGGGACAACGCAGGGACCGAGCAGGCTGTCGGCACAAAATCTGTGTTTTTACCAGATGAAAGGAACCATTGCTTTGCCCAAGCCTTGGATCAACTCACAGAGCAGTTTGTTTGCGCTCCGGCAATGGAAAAAGTCAGGTTGTAGAAACCTGTGTGCGAGCAGCTGGGAAGGTTTGGTGGAAAATAGGTTTCAGACAAACCCGTCCGTTTGGGATGGGCGGATTTCAGGTCTGGCGGTGAGAGGAGATGGTTATACGGAGTAATTGGGGAGAGAGCAAAGCAGCAAGCACCAAGACCTGCTGATCAGCAGTGTGAGCTCTGCCAATTAACAGAGCGTGCTCGGGCAGAATTAAAAAAAACAGCTTAGCGACATCCCGAAATCTAATTGGGAAAAAAGAGCATCTTCAAAGGAAAGATGCTTATTTTTAACTCTCTCCAGCAGGGTTGGGTGCATCGGTTTTGCACCAACAATAAGAAACTTCTCTTGCCCTTGGAGGACATGCAGATTGGCGCAGCATTAAGAGCACAGAAGACGTTGCCGTTAAAGAGCGAGCCGCAATGTCTGCCATCGCGCAGCAAACTGTGCCTTAATAAAACCATACATCAATCTGCACCATTGTGTCCTCGCTCTGCTCCTGCCTCCGCCCTCAGATCTTCAGAGCCCGTTGTGACAGTTCTTCTCGTACATCACCTCGCACATTTGACATGCTAGATTAGGCACCAAACCGCGGGCTGCCCTGCATCCACCCAGCGCCGGGATGGAGGAGCTGAGAGATCCGCCCTGAAAACCCGCTGCTGGGGGATGAAGATGTTTTTTCTTTTCATTATCAACTCACTCAGAGCTCAAGCTTTCCCCCCCACGGAAAGGCTTTTTCACCAAAACAAGTGCAAAAAACATCAGCCCGTTTCTACTTTTCACAATTAGGGTGAGGTATTAACGAAGGCGCTGGCTTTGCCCATTCGTGCCGCTGTGCATCTTTCTGCAAAACAAACCCAGTAGTTCTGCAGCA